CTCTCTTTGTCCCTCCAAGAAGTGCATGTGCCCTATGGCAAAAACCTCTCTAGGGCCCAGCAGGTGGTGTGGTGGCTAAGGTGCTAGACATTCCCACATAGCCAACCATGGTTTGAGTCCCAGACCTGACGGCTTGGTTTCTTACTTTCTCTTTATGTATGTGTGTCTCTCTGTCTGGTCAAATTAAAAATAAATGCAAGAGTAAATAAAATTAATTCTTTTTAAAAAGTCTCTCTAAAAGAAATCAACCCTTTCTCCTAACGCTGAAGTTGCTTCACAACCCTCCTTCACGACGGGTTGGTAGTGACAAGTGGGTTGGTGGCAGCAGGAAGAGGACCCATTGGAGAGGGACCTCCAGAGACAGCCGAGGTCTCTAATGCTGGGGCACCTCTGACTGTGAACTGCTGTCGAGCAGCATACCCGGGAAGCTCTGCAGCAGTCCCTCCCTCCAGTCACCCACTGGCTGCTGCCCACGGAGCGCCGTGCTGTTCCAATCCAGACAACGCAGGCGAGCCAGCACTGGGACACGGCTGGTGAGGGGCACGACACGAGAGCCATCTGTGCTACATGCAAGCACTGTTTCTACTAAAAATGCAGGTAACCACTTAAATGATTTAAACTGCTACCTTCGTAAAAATATCACATAAAGGACACTGAGCACACCACCTGAGAACTTTAACAACTAGCTGTCACCAGGATGGTCGTATGGCTAGCCCGAAGGCCCTCCTGTCCTCGACATTCTGAACTCTCAAGGTGCAGAGTGTAAACACTTAGGCTCGTCACTGCCGTTATCCACCGTATCTGGACTTACTAAGGTTTCTCAAAACCCTGAGTGAGAAGGACCTCACCTTGTAGAGACACACACTGAAACGTCCCTGCGGGAAACGACTCACTGCCAGCGTCGCCTGCAGAACTGCCCTGGTGTGGGGAGCAGTGCACTGGGGGCCGACTGCAGAACTGTGGTGCTCACAGGGCTCGCTGCGCCATTCTCTCTACTTGGCTGTGTGTTCAAGTTTAAAAAGTCACCAACAGGGGAACCAGCAGTTAGCGTAATGGCTATGTCGCTGGACTCCCACGTGGTCGACCGCAGTTCGCGTCCCGGACCCAGTGGCTTAAAACTCACACAGGGCGCGTGTGCGTGCGTGCCCAAGATCCCGAGAGGAGAATGGAGGAGAAGGGATTGTGGTGTGACCATCCCCCCTGGGGGGTGATTTCTCGCGTTCTGTCTCTAATGTCTCTCGCTATCTGTCTGGCGAGTGCACGTGCCCTATAGCAAAAATCTCTCAAGAAAAAAAAAAGCAGCCTTTGTTCCGTAGCAAGTGATAACGTGCTGCTCAAGAGTAAATGGATCCCACATGGCAACCTGGGTTCAAATCCCAGGCCCAGTCCCTCTAACACCATGCTGGACACGTTTTCAGAAGCCAATAGTCTGACCAGCTGAAGGATGTGGGAAAGGGGATTACAACATGGCTCTGTGGAGAGTGTCTGTCTTTCTCTCACACTCATGTATGCATGCATGTGCTCTATCAGGAATAAAGTCTTAACAACAACTCACCATTGCTGGGGCCAGCAGGTGTCGTGGTGGTTAAGGCACTGGACTCCCACATGGCTGATCACGGTTCGAGTCCTTGATAGCTTGATCGCTCACTTTGTCTCTCACTCTCTCTCTGGTCAAATTAAAAGTGAATGAGTATGGGGCCAGCAGGTGGCGTGGAAGAGCTGGCTCCCACATGGCAAGCCCAAAACCCCTCGAGAATGGAGGACACAGCCATGCCTCCCAGGTGCCTGCTCATTTGCCCTCTCTCTGTCTCTCTCTAGCGAGCATACGCTCCCTATGGCTGAAACCTAAAAAACAAAGAAGAAATCAAGACCACCATCCCAAGAGGGGAACCCTTGGGTCCCACCCAGCACTGCTTCTTTGGAGGCTGTCCAGGAGGAGATGCCGCAGGGGGGTCCTCTCCATGGCACTGTCCCCACGAGCCCTGAGTCGTCAGGACTCGCCCCCAAACATGCAACTTCACCAGGTGCTGACAGAGTTGAGGGTTCCAGCTCAGTTCTACTCTGTAAGACAGCAAACCAGTTTTCTGAGTGTGATCGACAAGGGAAGTTACAGCAAAAAGCAGCTCTCTAATAAAAAGCGTTCAGTAGGGCTGGCACGCACTGGGGTGGTTACAGTGCGGGACTCCCCATGGCCAATGCGGTTCAAGTACCAGACGTGGCTATGTCGCTGGACTCCCACGTGGTCGACCGCAGTTCGCGTCCCGGACCCAGTGGCTTAAAACTCACACAGGGCGCGTGTGCGTGCGTGCCCAAGATCCCGAGAGGAGAATGGAGGAGAAGGGATTGTGGTGTGACCATCCCCCCTGGGGGGTGATTTCTCGCGTTCTGTCTCTAATGCCTCTCGCTATCTGTCTGGCGAGTGCACGTGCCCTATAGCAAAAATCTCTCAAGAAAAAAAAAAGCAGCCTTTCGTTGCTGGACTTCCACAATCAACCGTGGTTCGAGTCCCAGACCTGGTGACTTAAAACTCACACCAGGCACGTGAGCTTGTGTGCCCAAAATCCCAAGAGGAAAATGGAGAAAAAGGGACTGCAGCATGGCTATCCCCTCAGGGGGTGATTTCTTGCTTTCTGCCTCTGTCTCTCTCTCTGGTGAGCACATGCACCCTATAGCAAAAATCTTTCTAAAAAAAAAAAAAACAACTCACCATTGCTGGGGCCAGCAGGTGTCGTGGTGGTTAAGGCACTGGACTCCCACATGGCTGATCACGGTTCGAGTCCTTGATAGCTTGATCGCTCACTTTGTCTCTCACTCTCTCTCTGGTCAAATTAAAAGTGAATGAGTATGGGGCCAGCAGGTGGCGTGGAAGAGCTGGCTCCCACATGGCAAGCCCAAAACCCCTCGAGAATGGAGGACACAGCCATGCCTCCCAGGTGCCTGCTCATTTGCCCTCTCTCTGTCTCTCTCTAGCGAGCATACGCTCCCTATGGCTGAAACCTAAAAAACAAAGAAGAAATCAAGACCACCATCCCAAGAGGGGAACCCTTGGGTCCCACCCAGCACTGCTTCTTTGGAGGCTGTCCAGGAGGAGATGCCGCAGGGGGGTCCTCTCCATGGCACTGTCCCCACGAGCCCTGAGTCGTCAGGACTCGCCCCCAAACATGCAACTTCACCAGGTGCTGACAGAGTTGAGGGTTCCAGCTCAGTTCTACTCTGTAAGACAGCAAACCAGTTTTCTGAGTGTGATCGACAAGGGAAGTTACAGCAAAAAGCAGCTCTCTAATAAAAAGCGTTCAGTAGGGCTGGCACGCACTGGGGTGGTTACAGTGCGGGACTCCCCATGGCCAATGCGGTTCAAGTACCAGACGTGGAGGCATGAGAGTCTTGACAGGCGCGTGTGTGCTCGGCACCCAACGGCCCGAGAGGAGAATGGAGGGGAAGAGACTGCGGCGCGGTCATCCCAGTGCCCAGGGCGGTCTCTCACTTTCCCTCTTTTCCTGTCAGTCTCAGGCAAGCACATGTGACCTATGGCAAAATCCAAAAAAAAAAAAAAAAAGCATTTGGTGGAGGCCAGGAAGATGAGTCCACAGGGTACCCTGAGCGGCCAACTCTGACAGTCCTCTACCCGCCAAGAGCCCCAGCCATGTCCCTGTCCCAGCGCCATCTGCAAGGAGCGCTGGGTGGGCACAAACCCTGCCTGTGCCACCTCGAAGAACTGTGGAGACAACCCAGAGGCCGCAGAACTCAGTGTCAGAGCAGCCCTTGGTGAGGAAAACTGCACTCCCGCCCCAGACGGGCAAGGGCGGCAGGTCAGCAGGGCGCTCCGCACACTAGGCAGGGCAGCACCTGAGGGGGCGTACAGGAGGGAGGAAGGCAGAGACGCACAGCAACATGGCCCTGAGGCCAGCTGGTGGCCCAGTGGTCAAGGTGCTGGACTCTCAACGTGGCCGACCGAGGTTTGAGTCCTGAACCCAGCGGTGTCAAAATCACACCAGGCATGGGTGCACATGTGCCCAAAGTACCAAGGAGGAATGGAAGACGGCATAGCCATCCACGGGGGGTAATCTCTCACTTTCCTTGTCTCTGTCTCTCTCCAGCAACTGCACACACCTGATGGCAAAAGCTCTCCAAAGAGAAACAGCAGCTGGTACCCACAGGCGAAGTCCACCACCGGGAAAATTACCCCTAGCCTATCTCCTAGTCCAGACAGAAGTGCAGACCGCCGAGGACGCCCAGCCAGCGCTAAGCTCGCACGCACAGCATGGAGCGACCCACATTCCCAGTGCGTGCCAGCAGGCACCTGGCTGTGTGCTCAGCAAGGACCTGGCTCCCGGTAGTCAGACTGCACAGAGAGGCCCTGTGCTGCTCAGGGGTCACGGGTCCCTTACGAAGGACTCTGACAGGAGACTGATGACCCAAACGGCAGGGAGCCGCCTCTTCCCCTCAAGCGCCCTGGGCGTGGACTCCAGCACCTGCGGGATGGCCCGGGCAGTCCGGAGAGCAACTGCCCACCCACAGCTGGTGCCGTCTGGGCTGGGGGCAGCGGAGCCGCTGGACGTCAGTGAGGACAAGGCCTCTCTGGGAGTCACAGCCTGGGACGGGTGCCCTGCTGCCCTGCTCTGGCACCTGCTGTCCCTGGGGCCCACGTCAGCCACCAGGTGGACCCGGCACCAGCCCTGGAGCTCAGAAGCCCACTCCTCACTGGAACGTGAGACATGTCGCCTCCAGCTGCCACCAGGCAGCCCACCAGCGCCCAGGGCGGAGCGACCCGATGAGACAGAGTCCTGGCCGCGCCGGCTCCAGCGCAGCTTAGGGGGCCCAGCTGATGCCGCAGGGAGGGCAGGGAGCAGAACCTCCTTTTGGGGGAGAAGGGCCGCGGCAAAACCCGACCCGACCCCAACCCCCGGGAGAGTACGCGGAGAGAATGGAATGCAGGCCCTGCGGGCGCTGGGCGAGCCTCCCCGGCCACGCCAACCCGCCCGCCTGCTCTGCGCGGTCACCTGCTCTGCCCCGTAGACCGTGGCAAACTGGACGAAGTCCTCGATGCGGACGAAGCCGTCCCCGTCCCGGTCCAGGGCATCGAACACGGCCCGCAGGCGGGAGCCGTCCTCGTGGCA